CACATACTTATTGACCCAACAATATCAGTTCTAGACATGTACTCCCAAAGAGATCAAGACAGAAGGAAAAGTCTCATATGTACAAAAATAATTATAGCAACACTTTTCATTGTAACAAAGAAGTAGAAATGAGGGAAAGGGGGTGGGAAAAAGAGAAATATCCAACAATTAAGGAAGAAATGAGTGAATCATACTACATGAATTAATAAAATATTAATTTCTCATAACAGATGACAAAAGGAACAGATTCAGAGAAACCTAGGAAGATTTTTATGAACTGATACAGAATGAAGTACATCTTTGTATGTACTTTGTATATGAAATAGTCATATAAAATAGGATAGTAGAAAATTCACATTTAACATAAACAGGAAGCATTTTTATAACTCTTGCTAAGGGCCCTGGCATTCATAGTTCCAGAGGACTAAAGACCTGTAGAGAGCTGGTCTAGACTAGACTCTCTAGAGTTGGACTGCAGTCTCTGCCACAGAAGAGGAATTTTGAATTACTAGGCTGGAGAGTTTCTGCACTCTATGCCATAGAAATTCTACCTTTAGTCTCTATACCTCCCAAGGATATTAAGCAGAAACAACTCATATGCAAAGAAACATGGATGACAGGGGTGGAGGGGAATATTGTTAAGTGGGTCTAGACTCCGCCAGGTCATTTAAGTATCTTTAGGCAGACAGGACAGCAGTGACCAACCTAATTATTGGTGAATATTTCCCTTGATAAGATTCCAGAGGATCTAGTAAATTACCTTTTTACCTTTCTCTCTCTCTTTCTATTTAAAAGTGTTTTAAAAGTTTACTGTTTTTAAAAGTTTATTTACTATTTTCAAGGATACCTTAAAGATAGCTATCTCTAGATAAGGATATGATTGCTCTTAATTGCCTGTATTTGGTTGAATACAACAAGTGCAAATAGGGAAGTATCTGAGGAAAGGCATCAGTGGCTAGTTTCAATATGGAATAATTAAATTAGGTTTCACTGTCAAGCAGAGAAGGATAGATCCACTGATCAGCCAATCCTAGTAGTCAAAATTGGATTCTGATCTTGGGGCACCAAGCACTGATGATTTATATTAATAATCAAAATCCTTAAGCTCATTAAAATAGCAGAGAAAGGACCCACTTGGACCTGCAGGCCATTGCACTTACATTAAAACTATGTGCCTATTTCTTATTGTAGCAAAGTCCCTCTAAACATGGATGCTCTGGGCAAAAATCTTCAGCCTCCTACTCAGAGAAAATTAGGGTAGATCAGAGAGTGACGAAAGGGAAAAACTGAGTTGATCCAGTGGGAGGACATAGGCATGGTGTAGGAAGATCTAGCTCCACTCCTCTGTTTCTCTTGGAGGGAGGGGGAATAAAAGAGGAATAAATACCCAGACTTACAATGTCTCTGCACAACAACAACTGCTCTGTGTGTGTGTGTGTGTGTGTGGTGTGTGTGTGTGTGTACTGATATTTTTCAGGTTCATAATGAGAGAAGACAGAAGACCTTCAGGAAAACAGGCACACCGATAGATATTGATTTTTTGATTTTTTGATTTATTTTAGGCAATTGGAGTTAAGTGACTTGCCCAGGGTCACACAGCTAGTAAGTGTCAAGTGTTTGGTCTGAGGCAAGATTTCAACCCAGGTCCTCCTAACTTCAGGGTCAGTGCTCTATCTACTGTGTCACCTAGCTGCCCTAGGTGGAGCTGTGAATTGGTCACCCCAACCTGGAAAGGAATATTTTTTTAAATTTTTTATTTCATTTTAAATTTGTGGAATAAAACAAGCATTTCTGTAACACTATAATAAAAAAAGATGATTGCACATGATACTGCAAATCTATTATGTACAACTTACTATTCCTTTTAAATATGTAATAATGTAAATTTCTTTTCCCCCTTTTTTTCTTCTCTCCAGCTCCCCACCCTAGAGATCACTACCATTACACACAAATATGTATATATGTAAAATTATTCTATACATACTTCTATTATTAGTTCTTTCTCTGCATGCAAATAACATTTATTGCATTATTACTTGAAAAGGATACTTTTAATATTTCTGCTTTTACCATAAAATTTTTATTCCTTACATATGGTCAATCATTGTAAAGATAGCATGAAGTGCTGAGAAAAAGGTTTATCTGTTTCTCTTTTCATTCTAGTTCCTTCAGATATCTGGTTTATCTAAAATTCTATTCACTTCCTTGACTTCTTTCTTTTTCTTTTTCTTTTCTTTTTTTTTTTTTTTGGACAATCTGTCAAGATTTATTGTATAAGCCAAATAGAAGGGTACTATGTACAGAGGAGATAGGGGAGGATCATTTCTTAGTCTCCTCTTCCTTGAACAAAGTCTTGATGATCCCCTCTTTCTTAGCCTGCAGACACTCTTCCCAACGCTTTCATGCTTCCTTAGTCTTGGACTGGCAAGCTTCATCCTGGTCAGCCAAGAGCTTCCTCCGGGCTTTGTCTGCCTTCAACTTATAAATGTGCTCCATGAGGATTCACTTATTCTTGAACACATTTCCCTTCACCTCCAAGTACAGGCTGTGTGTGGTACATGTGTCGGTCAATCTTTTTGGATTCACGATGTCTTTGGAGCAGACAGCAAAGAATCTTCATTTGCCTCATTCAGGTCACCTTTTCAGGCATACGAGTATTGGCAGTACGCTTTCTCTTACCAATGCCCATGTGCGCACCCTTCTGTCAACCCAGAGTATTTTTCCGGCATCTGGCACAAGAGTGTACAGTAACGGGTTTCCAGATGACCAGCCCATCTTTAATCAGCTTCCAGATCTGCTGACGGGAATTGGCATTGGCAATTTCATTGGTCTCATTGGGGTCAAGCCATACCTTCTTCTTTCCACATCGAAGGACACTAGAGGCAAGACTCCTCAAGCCTGAGCATACTCATGGCTGCAGCCGCAGCACGTAAAAGGAAAGGAGAGAGCCCTTGACTTCTTTCTTATTTATTTTTGGGTTAGATTATCAGTTCTGAGAGGGAAAAGTTACAATCTCCCACTATTATAATACTACTACTATTTCCATGTGTAATTCATTTAACTTTTCTTTTAAAAACTTGGATGTTATAGCATTTGATGCATATAGGCTCAGTATTGATATTGCTTTATTATCTATAGTACCTTTTATCAAAATGTACTTACCCTGTTTATCTTTTAATTAAATCTATTTTAGCCACAACTTTTTCTGAGATCATGATTGCAATTGCTGAAGCATACTAAATTCTATTCCAACTCCCCATTTTAACTGTCTGTATCTCTCATTCTTAAATGTGTTTCATGTAAACAACATATTATTGGATTTTGACTTTTAATCTATTCTGCTGTTTCCATTTTATGGGTGAATTCATCCCATTCACATGCAAAGTTATAATTACTATTTGGGAATGTCCCTGTTACTTTATCTTCTCCTCTTACCCTTCTATTCTTTATTCTGCTCACTCCTCTAAGAGTCCCTTTCTTATCCTCTCCACCCCACACTCTTTTTCCTCCCACACTCTTCAATCTTAATCTACACACTCTTCTAAAAGTTCCTCCCCGACCCTGTCTCCTAGTCTTCTCACCTCTCTACAAGTCCATAAGACTTCTCCATCCCACCAGATGTAAATAGTTTCCTCTTCAACCAAGATCTGAAGAGGGTAAGATTCCAACATTACCAGTCCTCCATCTCCATCTGCTTCTTCTTGTATCAGTTCTTGCTTTCTTGACCCACTGTTGAGATAATTGTTCCTTTTTACCTTTTCCTGCCCAATTTTGTTTTTAGAATCATCCCATCACACACAACTCAGATCCAACATTTACTTCAAACTACCCTAGTAATGATGACACTTTTAAGAATACTAATAGCATTTTCATACATAAGATGTAAACAGTTTGACCTTAATAAGTCCCTTATAATTACTCTTTAATATTTTTCTTACATTTCTTCTGGATCTTTTGTATCAAATTTTCCATTGAGTTCTAGTATTTTTATCACAAATATCTGAAAGTCAGTTACTCAAATATATGATTTTTGGATATAGTATCCAAATATATAGTATAGCATATATAGCCCATAGTGTAGTATAGTATAGTATTTTGGGGGCTATACTAAAATGCAAATTTTTTTTAATTCAGGATTATACTCAATTCTACTGGGTAAGTAATTCTTGGTCAGAACCCCAGCACTTTTGCTCTTTGAAATATAATATTCTAAAACCTATGGTCTTTTAATGTAGAAGATGCTACATCTTGTGAAATCCTGATTGTATCTCTACAGCGTCTAAATTGGTTTTTTTTTCTTATTGCTCATAATATGATCTCCTTAACCTGGGAGTTTTGAAATTTGACTATGACATTCTTGTAAGTTTTCCACCCAGGCTCTCTTTTAGGTGGTGAACAGTAGATTATTTTCTATTTCTACTTTTTAATTAGGGTAGGAAGGTGAAATATGTAGTAGTAACGGTAGTAATAGTGGTAGTAGTGCTAGTAGTAGAAGTAATAGCAGTAGTAGCTATTGTTGTTGTAATAATAATAATTTCTGGTAACATTTATATAGCACTTACAATGTGCCAGACATCGTACTAAATGCTTAACAATTATCAACTGCTTTGATCCTCTCACAATAACCGTGGGAGATAGATGCTATGATCATCCCCATTTTATAGATAAAATAACTGAAGCAAACAGAGGTGAAATGACTTTCCCAGGGTCATACACTCAGTAAATGTCTAAGGCTGAATTTTAACTCAGGTCTTTGTGATTGCAGGTCCTAGACACTACCAAGGTGCCACTTTACTGACATCACTTTGTGAGCAGTTAAGTTGCCATCATAGTAGGATGTATGTATGTGTTGAAATATATAACATGAGACGTTTAAGGAGCAGAAAATGGCTTCTAACCCATTGGTGGTGGATAATTACACACAAGTACAGGATAGAGGCCTTGCTAAAAAGAATCTTAAGATCTGGTGAGGAATACAAGAGAGGATCAACAAACATTTCTGAAAGAACACACAACATAAGATGCATATATAATTCAGGCTTAAATTGAATAATACAGACTGTGAGAGCTAAAGGGGTCACAAGGATGTGGCACCTAAATTGTGATTTGAAGGGTGGGTAAGATTTCAGTCAGTGGAGTTGAAATGAAGAAAAAAGAAGAAATATTCCAGGAACAGGGAATTTCTGGGGAACGTTGAGGAAAATTAAATCATGATTTTGGCAAAAGTCAAAGGGAGTATTAGATTATGCTAGAAGAATATATTGGGCTGAAATCATAGAGGGCTTTCATTGGCAGGCAATGGAATGAATACATCTTGTTCATAGAACATGAGGAGACTCTAAAGCAGTTGGAACTAGGGTTGGTCCTTCACATGTTGTAGGAAGGTAGAAAACAGAGCTCATAGGAGGGGGGCACTTTGATAAATCCACTGGCAATTGGGGTGGTGTTGATATCTTTTGAGTCAATGGGAGATTTCAAGGTAAAATTTTGTAAGATGGTAGTAAAAAACAAAAATAATTCCATCCGAGCCAGACTCTCACCAGCACATATCCGTTTGCCTGAAAGAGACGAATATAAGGATTTGATATTTGTAAACTTCTAAATCATCTAGGCCACTTCTTTGGACTTACAGGTAGCCCACTAACACTCAGTGGCATTAGGTAAAAGACTGTGTGCATTCCTTTCCTCTCTGGTCCTTGACTCCTTTGAAGAGCCAAGACAGACAGGAAAAACCCCTCCTGTGTGCTCTCTCTCAATCAATCTCCTCTGAGCCAGAGCAAGTTCTGGGATTTATATTCAGAGGAAAGGAGCCATTGTCTTAGGGAGAAACAACCACTCATTTATAGTCCCAAGACATAAGTTTGTGGCTACCCACAGTGACTGCACTGGGGAAAGGTGACAGAAGAATGATGGAAGTTCCCTTTAGGAACCTCCTGCCACCATTCTGGAGAGAAAACACCTCTTGAGTCTACCTCACAGCTTCATGGCCATCCAGCCACTTGTCTTAACTACTCACTCCTAGCTCTAACCTAAGTATTAGAACCAACTGAGCAGGACATTGGAGACCACAATGTCAAGGATAGTTAGCTGCCTGCAAACATTCTTGTCTGCCACTGCCAGAATGGACCATCACCACCATTACCTAATAACCAGTAGGTTCCCCCAAGAATTGAAGGTGAAAGGACAGACCATCAGTTATAATTCTGTACCAATAGATACTCATCAAAATTTACATAGCTAGGGAAGGGGGTTCCATGCTCATGTGTCCTAGTCAAGAGTCACATTTCTATAAAATCATTAACTCTAAGATTAAACCTTCAGTGACCTTAGCCATAATGGTACCTGAGTAATGGGCCTTAAGATAACCCAATCCCCTTCCTTGGCTTGATAAATTACAAGATTATACCATGCTAACATAAAAGCCTAGAAGACTTTACCTGAGAAGTAGCTCCAGGTTGAAGGTGCCTGGGAGGATAGTCTTAAATGTGTGTGGGATGTACGGGCCTTTAGTTGTGGGTCTAGATGGAGAGCAGAGTGGCTTCTATCTCAGTTCTTCCTCTTTTTTTGGAATAAGCTCAGACAACTATGCTTAAATCCAGCTGATCTAGTTGATGAACCTTGGCCTAAGGATAATTAGAATGATGTATTGTATCTCCACCCTACTCTCTGGTTTTAGAAATTTGAAGGAATATATTGGTTACCTGGACCAAGCCAATCTTTTGGCATATGAGGTAACCGATATTCAAAGAAATGGAATAATTTGACCAAGGTCACACAGATAATGAGGTCCCCTGAGTTATCAATCCATCTTTGATGCACTCATTAGATGAATATCTTACCTGATGAAAAAGGCATGAAATAGTCGCTCTTCTTAAAGTTGCCACTTTCATCCAGGAAGTGACCTGGGTCAAACTGGTCCGGATTAGGGAACTCTTCATCATCATACAGAACAGAAGACAGTAATGGTATGATGGTGGTTCCCTGAAATAAGCAGATACAAATAAATAATTAGAAAATAAGAACCATAGAATGGTGGCGCTGAAAGAGAACTCAGAACTATCACCTAGTCAAAACCCCTGATTTTTAAGTATGCAAACAGCCCATCTTTTTAAGCACCTCTGCTGATAGTAAGTCAGAAAGTCTACAACATTATTGTGAGAGGTGAAACTGAATTTTGACACTCGAGGAGCAGAACCAGTACTGATGAGTAAAATACACAAGGAGGCAGATTTCAAGTCAAAAAGAAGTCAATAACATAACTTTTGATCATTAGATCTCTCAAAAGAGGAATGAGCTGCCTAGGCAGCAGACAATAAGCATACCAATCATGAATAAGATCAAGCAGATTCCAGATGATCTGAAGAGACAGAAATTAATTGTGACCTGTGTCAGGATGTTGAAGAATAATATAATGTCACACAGAAGAATAAAGCAAGAGCTGATGAACAAATTGGGAGCTCTTCTTGAAGATGAAGAAACAAGATGTTTGAGGAAGAAGCACTTGTTTGTACTCTAAAGAATGGTAAATTGAGTTCACAGGTGTTATCTGGCAAGATATCAAGGAAGAAGAAAAGAATAATGGTTGGTGACTCCCTGTAGAAGGATACTGAAACAGTTGTTTGCTGACAATTACTAAAAGGGATAGTTCTGGGACAGCTAGGTGGTGCAGTGGAAAGAGCACCGGCCCTGGAGTCAGAAGGACCTGAGCTCAAATCCGGCCTCAGACACATAACACTTACTAGCTGTGTGACCCTGGGCAAGTCACTTAACCCCATTGCTTCACAAAAAAATAAATAGTTCTGCCATACTCTAAGAGCATATGTCAAAGAGATAGCAGAGAACCTTACAAAACTTGAAAAAGGAGACAACTACTACCCACATCTGGTGATTCACATGAGCAAAAATGATACTACCATAAGGAATCTGGGAAGCATTTCCAAGGGGTTTGACATTAAGGGGAAAAAAACTAAAGACTTTAGGAGAACTGGTAGTGTATTCATTATGCTTGTTATTAGAAACAAAAGAATCAGAAAGGAAAGGCAGATTTCAGAAGTGGACATCTTATAAAAGGATGTTTAAAAATGGGATTTGGATTTCTGGACCACATATTAATTAAAATATAGGCATGATGATCTCCTGATCAGGAATGGAATGATGCATCTAGCAAAGGCTGGAAAGATGATTATTTTGATTTCTCACAAATATAGTCAAAAGGCTTTTTTAATGCTTAAAGTGTCATTAAAAAAAGAAGATGGATTGGATAGTTTAAGACATGGAAGCAAATCTGACCTCAAAGATAAAAATAGGTCTTGGTTTGATGAGATGCTTAACAAGACTGAAGTCCTGGAAAAAGTATAACTTATTCAAAAGAAACAGGATAGGAACAAGAGAGTAGGGTAGTATATATTACGAAGATACACTCATATGAGGCTATTTAGGAAGCACAGGAAAGAAGAATGATGAGAACCATCTAGGTAAAGAGAAATGGAGGCAACATCAAGACTGATATTGCCGTTAGAATATGCTACAGCCCATTTCGACAGAAAGAAGAAATAGATGAGGAATACGGAAAACAAATTATAAGCTCTGGAGGTTAGACATGATATAGCAGTGATAGAAGACTTCAATTATCCTTTCAGATCCTTGAGTTTCTCTTCTGTCAAAAACAAAGCAGTTCATAATTCCATGACTTTTCTTAACGATGATTTCATCCTGCAATTATAGTGGAACCAAAAAAGGGAAATTCTTTCATTGATCCACTTCTCACCATCTGAGAGGAACTTGGATAACAAAGATGTGAATAGAGATCTCCAGATCCCCTGTGGCACAACATTCTTCCTCTGGAGGGATCAGACTGTGTTGCAGGATATGCAATCACACTTAACACACTTTCTGTGCACACTTGTGGATGGTAATAAGGGGAATTTTTGGGAAAGTGACCGGTCCATCTTAGAGTTTATACAGGATCAACTAAGTGGCCCAATGGGAAGAGTACAGTACTTGGAGTCAGAAGGAACTGATCAGGCCTCAAACACTCACTAGCTATGTGACCCTGGCCAAATCACTTACCATCTCCTAGACTCAGTTTCCTTATTTGTAAAATGAGAATGATAACAGCACTTACATTTCAGCATTGTTATCAGGATGAAAAGGGGTAATATTTGTAAATTATTTCACAAATCTTAATGCTAGCTATTATTATTATCACCAAGAAAGACAAGAGTTAAGTTTCTCAAGACACAAAGAAAAAGAATTCTGGTGATGGAAGAAAAAGAAACCTTATCCATGTGGATAAGGTAGCCAGGTGGTGCAGTGAGGAGACTGCTAGCCCTGAAGTCAGGAAAACCATCATACAAATCCTGACTCATACATTTATTTATTGCATTACCCTAGCTGAACCAGGTGGTCTCTCTAACACTTAGTTTTGTCACTTCTAAAATGGGGATAATAATAGCATCTATTCCCACAGAGTTGTTTTAAAGAGTAAAGAAGCCCATCTATGTAAAGCAAACTTCAAACTACTTTATAAACAATAGTTATAATTATTATAGGGATTCATTAATCAACTCAGATTTTTCAAGGACAAGGATGAGTAAAAGAAGCATGTCACAGTTCCATAAAAGTGACAGAAGTGATAAAGCCCAAAATGGACAGAGGCTGGTGAGGCTAACAAAGGGCAATAAGAAGAGATTTTTTAAAACTATATTGTGAAAAAGAAGAGGATTAAAGAAAGGACAAACCCACAACCCAGAGGCTTAAAGGACAAGGATAACAAGTGATAAGAAAAGATGCAGAACTTCTTAATTTTTCTTTTGCTTTTGGGTTTTTTTTCTGACCAAGGGAATGATCTTTGAACTGAAAAGGACAGAATAAATTAACAAATACAGCTAACAGGGATAGAATACCCCAGGGAAGTAAGGAGAAATTTAGGGAGAACCTAGACACCTTAGCAAGACAAATTAAGTGAAAAAAGTGCACTTCAATCTGTACTCAGAGTCTAGAATATATTTCTAAAGAGATCATTAATCTAGTTAAGGAAGGAATGAGGAAATGACTCAAAAGAAGGACGTAGTGATCACAAGGATCTGGAGTGGAATCATCATTGTTTCCTTTACTGAGGCTGTTAATAAGCTGGTAGATCAGGAGAATGCCATATATAGGGTTTTCTTCGATTTTAGCAAAGCATTTGATAAAGATTTTCATGCTCTTCCTCTGAAAATGATGGAAATATGCAGGTTAGACTATCACACAATTAGGTGGATTGAAAACTGATGACTGATCATATACAAAGGGTAATTATCGAAGGTTCAAAAACAGCTTGGAAGTAATACTGTGGTCTCCTCAGCTCACAAATGAGGATTATATTCCTTCTGTGAGTCATATCTTAGGAGGACACTGAAGAGCTGGAGGCTACTAAAGGGAGGGCAACCAGGATGGTAAGAATAACAAGTCCATGACACGTGACGATGGGTTGAAGGAAATGGGGATATTTAGACAAGATAACAGAAGACATAACAGAACAGGAGACATAATAGTTGATTTCAAGTGTTTTATGGACTTTTACTAGAAAGAGAGAGTAACTTCGTTCTGTTTTGTTTTAGGAGACAAAACCAAGAGCAATAGATTAAAGTTACAAAATAGCAAATTTAGGCTTAATACAGACAAAACAAATTCCCTCAAATTAGGGCTGTCCAAGATTAGAATAGAATTTCACAGTGAAAAAGTGGTTCCACCTAATTGAAAGTCTTTAAGTAAAGATTGGATGACCATGAGGTGATCATACTGTAGATGGAATTCTTTTTCAGATTGGGAATGGACACTATGACCACTGAAATCCCTTCAAATTCTGAAATTCTGGGACCACTTCTGAGGGATATGGCTAGGCCTGAAGTTCCTTCTAACTCCAAGATTCTAGATTTCAATGAGAGACAGCACAAAATCTTGTGTTACAGTGAAAACATTTCTGACCTTGGGGATAAGATATTGTCTAAACTGAATATCTTCTGACACTGCATGGGGCAGGTTGGTGGGAACAAGGTCAATGTATCGCTGTATCTCATGTATGACAGCATTGGTGTAAGGCATCTTGTTTCTGTCCTCCATGCAGGGACTTCGATCTCGGCCAATCACATGATCAATTTCTTTATGAAGTTTTCCTGTCACAGTACAAATGAAAATTGATCTTAAAAGTAGAGATAAAAACTGCCTTTGCTTATATTCTGTCTGATTTTTCACCAAGACCTGCACTGGTAAATAATACACTTGACTCCCATATTTCAATAGATAGAGAGATAGATAGACAAAAATTCCATTTAAGTCTCTTGAGCTAGCTGAGCATCTCTTAAGGCACCTATGTCCCATGCCCTCAGGACAGGCTCAAGTTGTCCTTAAAAAAATAAAGGCTAAGTAGCACTTGATTAAGGAAATGAGATGGGGTCTCAGTCTGGACCTGTTCTACAACTTAACGTGACCAACCATATCCCCAAGGTATTTCCCTGAGTAACTGTATGAGTGACAGGAATCCAGAGGCACCACCTCCTCCTATGGTCAGGCAGGATCAATAAGCTCTCAGGAACCAGTGCCTCTCAATCATTCACTTCTTCCCAGTTCTATCACTGGTGTCCAGTCTCTATTCATATCACTATCTATGTGGCTACCTCTAATAATAACTCACTGTTATATACCACTTAACTAAGTAAGGTGGAAGTAGTAGTGGAGAAGGAGGAATAAGTAAACTTGAACATGTAATGACTTAAATACATTAAAATGACAATAAAAAAGTTTCCAAGCAAAGTCTTAAAAGGACCATGAACCCCTCTCATGCTGACTAAATTATATGTATTATTATCCTTTATCTCACCTGCTATCTCAGGGTATTTCAGGAGAAGCAGGAGTCCATATTTCAGGGTGGTGCTTGTTGTCTCTGTTCCTGCACTAAATAGGTCAATTGCAGTACAGACCAGGCTTTCAATGGTAAATTCAGACTGTGGTTGTTGCTTTTCCTAGGAATAATTTGGTATGATTAATGGAAAAGTAAGGGAGGCAGCAGGGCACAACAGAAAGTGTAATGGATTTGGAAGCAGAGGACCTTGGTTTAAATCTCAGTTCTGATAGTTTTTTTTTAATGGGGGGGCAATCAGGGTTAAGTGACTTGGCCAGGGTCACAGAGCTTAGTTAAGTGTCTGAGTCCAGATCTGAACTCCAATCCTCTTTACTTCAGGGCCAGTGCTCTATCCACTGTGCCACCTAGCTGCCGCCAACACATCACCAGCTCTGATCTTGACCTTGGGCAAGTCATTTAACCTTTTGATATTTCAGTTTCCTCATCTGTGAAATGAGGGGGTTGGATTCAATTACCTCCAAGATCCATTTCAGTTCAAAATCTATGACCCTATAAATAAATTAAATTTGACAAACACAATCCAAAGTGGAACAAGTAGTTGGCAATTATCAAAGCATTTTGGCCCTTGCAGGTATGACATATGGGAGAGAGACAGAGAGAAGAAAGACATGTGGCGGGGGTGAGGGGAGGAAAGAAAGAAAGAAAGAAAGAAAGAAAGAAAGAAAGAAAGAAAGAAAGAAAGAAAGAAAGAAAGAAAGAAAGAAAGAAAGAAAGAAAGAAAGAAAGAAAGAAAGAAAGAAAGAAAGAAAGAAAGAAAGAAAGAAAGAAAGAAAGAAAGAAAGAAAGAAAGAAAGAAAGAAAGAAAGAAAGAAAGAAAGAAAAAGAAAGAAACTAGATCTGCAATTTCATTGGCACAGGAAATTTCCAGGTAAGAAAAATTCTGTCTGCCAATGCAACTCTGCACTTTCTCTAAAACACCTAAAGTTTCAAGAGAGTTGCCTAGCCCTAGGGCACTACAGTGTTAAGTGACTTGCCCAGGATCACATAGACATTTTGTGTCAGAAAGGGGACTTGAACTCAGTTTTGCCTGTCTCTGAGGCCAGCTCTTTATCTACTACATGAGGAGGGTCAAACTCTCAGCCTTCAGGCCACAAGCAACCCACAGAACTGTGTGTGGCTGAAAGCAGATTAAAATGTAATTGGGAAATGTTTAGTAAAATAAACAAAGATACAATACAACATAAAGAATGTTATTTTCTAAGCTAATATGAGGCCCACCAGGATCCATTTCTATTCATGATTGATATAACTGTACTATATCATACTATCTTGCAAGACATCTATACCTATATAGTATATAGCAGTTATATCTGTGGGTACACACAAGCAGCTAGGTGGTACAGTGGATTGAGTTTAAATCTGGCCTCAGACACCAACTGCCTGTGTGATTCTGGATAAGTCACTTAACCCTGTTTGCTTCAGTTTCCTCATCTGTAAAATGAGCTAGAAATGGAAAATCACTCCAGTAACTTTGCCAAGAACATCCAAAATGGAGGCATGAAGCGTTGGACTCAACTGAAATGACTAAGCAACAAATGCCCAAGCACCGCACACATGTAAGCTATTGCATTTTCTTCCGGATTAAGTTCTGTTGTTCTATGAGTTCAATGACATGAACAGGATTTATTAGTTTAGCAAACAAGGAAGGAAAAAAATTATCAACTTCCATATATATCACAATTAATGCAAACAGGATCCATGTATATTTTCCCATTTTATCCTCATCAAAATACTGTGATACAGTTAGTGCATTATTGTTGTTGTTTTACTAATGAGGAAATTGAGAGGCTAAATGCTTTGCCCTTGACCATGAGATGTTGATATTGAGGAAAAGTTACCACTGAGGTCAGAAATTTAATATATAACAAATACCCAATGGACTAAAGATAAGAAAGGTTAAAACATAGGAAAAGCAGGCAGGTGCTAGAGGACATAATTCAACTTCAAGTCAGCTAAGGTCTATGCCCACTGTGGATGGGGGTGGAGGGGAAAGGATATGGAATTCTGAAGATTCTCACACATGAAAAACAAGAGACTACTGTACATATTAGTTCTAAAAATCTCTTGCTCTGCTCTACATATTTGCCCTCTCCCACATTCCCTCATCTACCAATGGGGTAGGAATCTGTGGGAGAATATACCCTTATGTGCATAGGTTGATGAAGGAAGGATTTTCCTGGTCAATTATGTTGGCACATTGCTAAATTAAATGCTTTTGAATTAATGTGTTTTCTGGTTGTCTGGTAAGAAAACCATAAGTGATGACCTCAGAGTACACTTCATTGCTGTAAGTAGGTAATTTATCCATTTCAGCATTCCATCAGCATATCTTTTATCTTCTCCCATGTTTCTCTGGTACTTTCAGGGCTTCATTTACTCCACATGAATTACATTAGCTTATTGCTTTGTTCTACTTTTCTTCTAATTTGTTGGATTGTTTTTCTTTATGCAACTTTTCAATGATTTTTCTTCCCTTTCGTTTTGCTCTTTGCTGTTTATGGAATGGTTGGAAAGTGAGAAGCCTCTAACTCCACTATCTTGACTGTAAAACCCACCATCCTCCCCCCAAGTACTTACCACAGCAGCCCCTCTATTCCACTCAGGCTGCTCAGATTAAAGTTCCCTATGCCCCACTGTCTTTACAACTCCTCAAATGCCCTGCCCAGTCCTCACTGCCTAGCTCTAGGACCTCCTTCAACACTCAGATCTAAATCTAACACTTCCAGAAGAAAGAATTATGATAACCCTCACCAAATATTACATTTCTTGCTAATTCCAAATTCCTTCATCACTTAAATATTCAATTTATAATCTATTTTGGCTTTCCTTACGCATTCCTGATAATTATTCTTGTCCTTCGGGGGGCTTCCTTCTCTCTGTTGGGTTAGAAATTCCATTAGGGCTAGGATCCTATCTTCTCATTCTTCTGTTTGCCCCATACAGTGCTCTGACCACACTACAATTAATATATGATTATTTACTTCTCTGTATCTGTGAACGTGAGTGTCAGCCTCTAATACATATACCATTTCACCTACAAGAACTGAGATTCAGACCTACTGTTCACACTCTACCTGCTCCATTTTCATCAGGAAACAGTCAATGAAGTCCCTAGGATTGCTGGGGTCCAATGTTCTTTGGTGTTCCTTCACTTCTTCCAAAATAAATTCACATTGTAAATGATAATTTTTAATTGCTTTGTGATGAGATCCAGGGAGATGATGTACTAGAGATGGAAAAGAATTGTACACCTAAAAAGAAGAATTTTATATCATACTTTATGAGAAAAAGAAAATACTTCTCTACTGTAGCATTTGGATCACGCTGAGAATATCACTGAATAAGGGTGGGACAAATGCCCTTTGGAAAATAGTGACTTTTCTCATCATTTCCTATACAAACCCCCTAAGAATAAATACTCTGCTCCTTGGTTGTCTAAGAATATGTTGGCCTTCACTCTCAATTCTTACTTCCTACAGAAAAGTTCTCATCCTTTCTCACTTTGAGGTCTTCTAAGAGATCTCCCTACCACCTTCCATTGGGACAGCTAACTCATCTGCTAACCTGATCCAACCTCAGGTGCTTGAGGGAAAAGTCAGCTTGGCTCTAGTAACATGAATTTTAACATTCAGTCCCTGTGACCAGTGGGTGAACTACTCCAGGGAAGGCCCTTATAATGTACCTCAAATCAGACCCCATAGAGGTAACCTTTTTTGTCTTTAGTTCCTGTCAGTGAAGAATAAAATGGGAACCCATTCCAGCATGGCACTATTGTACCTCCCAATAGAATGAATGATGAGTCTAGCTCCTTGCAGGTGTTTCTTTGAAGTAATTAAAAAAATATATTCTGAGCTCCAAACAGTGAGAACGCTGCTCTCACCTTCAGCCATGGAGAACTTACAATCTTGACATTTTCATCTAAAAGCTTCATTAAATATAGAAATTTCTGGTCTTTATATTCAAAACATTTCTGGAAAATGATAGAGCAGATTACATTGCAAGGAGCACAGCCAAGGATGAACGTAGGGTCACATGGCAATCCTAAAGGAGAAAGAGAGAAAGACTTTAATACTGCCATTGTGATCTAAAGGAAGATTTGCCTGCGTTTAGGTAGGACATGACTGTCCTCTTTCCCCTCTAGTTTACATTCTAGCTGACATTTATGTGGCACAGCAAGGTTGAAAATAAACTACTCTTTATGAAGCATCTGATTTCATCTACATGAGAATTCTAAGTGCAAATAGGATAATTCCCATTTTATAGATGAGGTTGCTGAGGCTCAAGCAAATCAGCTGATTTATGTGCCATAACTAGGAAGGATCAAGAAGTGGAATTCAACCCAAATTCTCTCCTGGACCCAGGTACAGTGCTCTTCCTACCATACAGCATCACTTCCCATTTCTAAATCCCTATTCTTCACCTCACCCTGACCAACTTTTACTTTCAGACTTCTTCATGTCTATTTTGAAATTATATTTCATTTTATTTCATTCACTTATCCCAGGATGAGGGTTAAAGGCACTGGTCTGGAAGTCTTGCTATTCCAAATGCTCTTAGGTTGCAGGTTCTGGGTTGTCAAAGGATTGATAATGTCAAGGTGGTGATTCTAGGTTTCCTTGACTGGTCTCTCATCTCTCCCTGAGGGTGCCTAACTGCTTTAGCCAGGCTGGCCCATCTGCCTTATGAGTAGCAATTGGCTGACAACTGGTGGCAATGGCTAGTCCCTTTTCCACAGGAGTTGCTTCCTCAGATGAGAGCTGTGATGGCTGGACTGGGACCAGAGGTCTAGAGATTGCTGCCACCCCTGTGGCCCTCATATTTACCTATTGGGGCAGCTGGTCACCAGTTGTTGCTAGTAGCAATGAGAACGATAGGCCCCTTCTTCACAATGTAGCTGCTGTGGACACTGGTTTTGCTGTTTCCCAGTCTCTTGGGTTTGGAGGTCCTGAGCTGCCTCCATCAGGGTCAGAGGGGAGATTGTGGTTGAGGTGGCGGCTATGCTAAAGAGGCCCAAGTACAGAATCTTGGAGATATTCACACTGAGGAGACTGAAGGTGGATAGTGACCCAGCAAAAGAATATTGAGAAGCAAAAATCAGGCCCAAAGAAGAGCCAGTGGAGAACAGCATGACAGAGGTGAGGGAGAAGAGAGTATCAGTCAGCCAATCCGCCAGCAGTCACTTAGCTCTTACTAGGCTCTGTGCTAAGCACCAGGGGTACACAGACAATAGTAAGACAGCCCCTGCCCTCAGAGGGCTTACATTATACTGAGGGAGGCAACATCTACACAAAAGAGCGGCAAAAGTCCCGGATTCCTCGGTAGTGGGGAAGTGCTGTTCTTAGTTTATTCCTCCAACATTGCTGGTGACATTTTCTGGAGTAGGAGAGCACATACAGCTGATTTCGAGCAACGACTGACAGCATCCTACTACTGCCCAATTCCTACCACCCAACACACACACACACACACACACACACACACACACACACACACAGAGTACACAGAGGTTTTGCCTTTTATTTTAAAAAGTAGTTATTCCATAGAATTTATGGCATCAGCATCCTCTAGTGTCCTGTGGCCCCCTAAGTTTCAGATTTCATAGAAGGATGACAACCCTTCTGTAAGATAGCTTAGATGGGGGAAGGAAGGGGGAAGCATGAAGGGAAACAAGCTTCCGAGAAATGCTGCTGAGTCAGCTCACTGACTTCCTAGCAATGTTCTCAGCCCTGCTTCCATTCCTTCAGTTAGTCAGAAAATCCCTGGATTCCCCAAAATGATCCTAAAGCAATGCCTTTTCCTCCTGGAACTGTTGGCTAAAGGTAACAGAACTGGTGCTGCTAGGTTCTTGTGAGCTCTGCTCCATCTGAAAAGGAATACAAACATATAAAGTCATCCCCCGACATGTTCCTCACCATGCTGCCTCCTCACAAGATTAGCATGAACTCATTAGTAGCGCTGCATTGCCTCTCATCTCTTCTCTCAGCTGTCTTGACCCTTCAGGGGTCAAGCAATGACCATATAGCCATGGGCATATCCCCAGCATGGGCCAAAAAGTGCAAACATGGTAGTTTCACACTACAGTAAATTCCTTGGACCAACCTCAGTCTTCGTGAGATATAAGGGATAGGACAGATTTTTACAAGGTCAGTGGTAACAAAGTGAAAAAACACCAACCTTTTGTTTTTTTTAATTCCTCCACAAGATACTTTGACACTTCTTGGACTCGCTCTTCAATGCTCCTCTTCCCCATCCCGAAATTCCTCAGGGTCATGAGAGAGAAGCGGCGGATTTGCTTCCATCTCTCTCCATTGCTTATGATAAGTCCTAGAAAAGGGAGCATGTCAAATTTTCTAATCAACTCTGGTCTTTTCATCAAGAATGCTTGGAAGTTCCCTATTTCACTGAATGACCACTTTTCCCCTGAAGGATTATACTCAGTTTGGCTGGGTAGGTGATTCTTGGCTATAATCCTATCAAGCATTCTTGATGAAAAGACCACAGCTGAACAGAAAATTTGACTTTCAAATACAAGACTTGAGTGGAACATGAAGAGGTAAACAGGAAAGAGAAAACATAAGAGACTTATTAAGGTTGAACTGTTTACATTTCTGCATGGAAAAATGATATTTATAACTCATGAGACCTTTGTCAGTATTAGGATAGTCGGAGGGGAGAAAATTATATGCATGTATGTATGTATGTACGTATGTATAGATAGATAGATAGAGAACATAGGGTGAGGTGAAGATTAAGGGATCATATCTGGAGAATAAAATTAAGGGATGGGAAGGGATTATACTAGAAGAAGAAAGGGAGAGGGAGAGGAAGGTAAATTATCTCACAAAAAAAAGACAAAAGAAAAAGCTCTTACACTGGAGGGGAAATGGGGGAAGGTGAGAGGGAATGAATGAATCTTATTCTCATAGGATTTGGCTTAAGGAGGGAATAACATACACATTCAACTGGGTATGGAAATCTGTCTTACCTTACAGGAAAATAGGGGGGGAAGGGGACAAGAGAGCAAGGGGATGATAGAGAGGAGGGCAGATTGGGAAAGGGGGTAATCAGATGCAAATACTTCTGAGGAGGGACAGGGTCAAAAGAAAGAATAGAATAAATGGTGGGGCAGGATAGGGTTAAAGGAAATAGAGTTAGTTTTTCACAACATGTCTACTATGGAAGTGTTTTGCATAGCTGCACATGTATAACCTATATCGAGTTGCTTGCCTTTTCAATGAGGGTCGGTGGGGAGGGAGGAAGAGAGAAAATTTGGAACCCAAAGTTTTAAAAACAAGTTTTAAAAAAAAACGTTTTCACATGCAACTGGGAAATAAGAAATACAGGAAATGGGGTACAGAAGTCTATCCTGCCCTACAGGAAAATAGAAGGGGAAGGGGATAAGAGAAAAGGGGGAGAGATAGAAGAGAGGGCAGACTAGGGGAAGGGATCTTCAGAATGCATGACATCTTGGGGTGGAGGGAGGGGTGAGATGGGGTGAAAATTTGGAACTCAAAATCTTGTGGAAGTAAATGTTGAAAACTAAAAATAAATACATTTATATTAAAAAAAAAACAAATAACTACAGCAAAAAAAAAAAGGGAGCAGGAAGAAGAGAAACCTTAGACTCTAAAGTTCCTGAAAGTCCATGGCAAAAAGTTCTTGGGCCCTTGACCCACACCTGTTGTTCTAGGAGAATATAATGTTATGGGGTGTCATTTTGCTTTCTCCTCTATCTATACTGTTTCCCGTCTGATTCTCTCTTCACCACAGTCACAAACACATCAGGTGGCCCTATGCCCATATCCCGAGCCTGGTAATGAAGTGGCCACAAAGAGGGAGTCCAGGATAAAGGCATATTTTTTGAGAAACTGAATGGTTATAGGGCACGTTAGTTGATATCTCTCCATCTTTTTACACAAGGAACCTAAAAGACTATGATGTCCTGAAGTCCTAGTCCTCCCTCTTCACACAGGTACCAAAGAGTGAGAGTCTTTGTGTGTTGTCTTTTTGTGGGTTGCAAAGTGGTGCAGTGGAAAGAGCACCAGACATGCAGTCAGGAAAACTCATCTTCCTGAGTTCAAATCCAGCCTCTTACTATTTATATGATACTGGGCAAATCACTTAACTCTGTTTGTCTCAATTCCTCATCTGTAATATGGCCTGGAGAAGAAAACAGAAAACCACTCCAGTATCTTTGCCAAGAAAACTGAGTGACGGAGAGTTGGACACGACTCAAATGATGGAATAATAAGAGGTACACTTAGTAGGAATAGAAAGTTATAAAAGCTCAGTAGAAATCCCAAATCATGTGGCTTTCCTTAGCTTTCTTTTTTTTCCCCTAAGTCTGAAACAATCCTACATAAGATTGTTGTTTATGGGGAAGTGATTGTTGAGTCAAAACAAAATATAGCAATTATACAAAGAATTGTAGTTAATTTGAGTAATGGAAAAGGTGTACACGTGCCTTTATGGTACAAACACGATAGACACACACTAAAGCTTCACAGGGTATGTTCTTCTTTCTCTGACTATATAACCCCTTCCTACCTTCAGATATCACCCTCTGTTTCCAGACATGGAGGAAGACTTCACCTAACTACTCTTATATGGAGAACTATACTTTCGCCTATAATCTTATTTCCATGGGACCTTTATCACGATCAAATTCATTACCCTCTGCTTCAAGATCCTCCAAAAGGGAACATTTGGCCTGCAGTCAAAAGATCTGAGTTCAAATCTAGCCTTAGATACTGACTAGCTAAACTAATCACTGAACATCTTTTTGCCTCAGTTTCATCATCTCTAAAATGAAGAGTAATAATAGCACACCCCTACTGGAGTGATTGCAAAGAGCAGATGAGATAATACTTATAAAGCACTTAACACAATGCCTGGCACATAGTAGGTACTATATTTGTTAGCTCTTGTTGCAGTTGTTGTTGTTGTTCATTCATTCACTCATTTCCCACCTTGGTTTACTCATATGTCCCTACTACAAGTGTTCTAAACTTCCTGTAGCAGAGATGTGTTTGCCTTCTAGACAGGTTATCAGGAGTCATGATGAAAAAGGTTATCAGAGACTTTTCCCTGGCAGTAGCTGATAGAATGCCACAAGAGAGAGAGATTTTTGTCCTAATTTCAGCTCTAGTAGGCTAAGCAAGGTGACCTATTCCAGAAGTTGCCAGATAATCATAACTTTTAAGACTATTTCAAAAAGTATAGATACTTTTCCTTCATGTGGATTCTGATCCACATTGGCTATACAGCACCTTGCTTGGTCTTCAGAGGCTCAGCATTTTGGATGATCATTATCCTTGCAGAATGAAGTAATTTTGATTTGCCTGTGACCTCTGGAAGGTAGCAAATCACTGACCACCAGGTTCATTTCACCAATTTTATACAAAATTTCCTAACATTGTACGTCTATTGGCTGCCATTCACCCTCTTCTGCAATGCCCAACAAGAAATACATGGCAAGAGAAAAGTCTCAATATCCTACACAGCGTGGGGTCTTGTCTCAGTTATTCACTTTCTTGACACTCTTACCAGAGGTTGTTTAGTGAACACTGAGAAAGGGTGGTCACTAAGAGCCAGCATGGGGTTGTCAAGACTAGGTCTTGCTAGACTAATCTGATTTTTTTTAACAGTATTATTAGAGTACTAGATCTAGGCAATGCCTTGACAGACTAGACTCAGATTTCAGCAAGGCATCTTACAATGTTTCTTATGACATATTCATACAGAAGATGGAGAAGACACTGGTCAGACTGCCAGAACACATGTTCCTAGGAATCCCAGGTCACGTCAAGTTGTGGACATTGTCCAGTAGGAGGAAACTAATGTAGGTGCTAGGCAGCTGAGCACTGGATCTCTGAACAGAAAAGAGAACATTCCAACCAACTGGAAAATGAACTAGAGTAATGGATCTTGGAAGGTAAAAGTCACAGCTGAGGGGGGAATGATTGCAGCAAACTGTAAAGACTAGAAAGATGGGAGAAGGAGATCTCTCTTCTCCCTCCAGGACTCTTCCACTCCACAATCATTCTCTTTCTCTCTCTCTTTCTTCCTTCTTTTCATTCTCCATCTTCTTTCTTGTCTTTCTCTCTCCTTTTTTTCTTTCTTTCCTTTCCACTTTTTCTTCCTCTGTCTCTCTGTCTCTGTTTCTCTGTGGGTCTCTTCTCTATCTGTCTGTCTTCTTATTTTTCACGTAGTGTCTTTCTTCCTACTTTAACTGGATATAACATACAACATGAAGCAATGCAGCTGCTGCCATGGACAAAAATATTGGCTTCCATACCTCTCACTACATCCTCCCCAACATGCCACAGCTATGAGGCCTTTGGTTTAAAAGTGGGTGTATTGCCACTAATTTCTGTCAATACTATTCTTTTCTGTATTCTTGTCTTTCTGTTCTTCCTCTATACCAAACAGAAGCTTACCTAATCCGTTGCTAACGAATTCTAAAAGTGGCATATGTCCTCTGTCAGCAAACTTGTCGCCATGATCAATCAGAGCTTCTTTCACTGCCTTGTATCCATGTAAAACGACAACACGCTCAACACCAAATTGCAGAGTGAACACTGGGCCATATTGTTTCCCTAGCTGTGAAAAGAGATGTGGGCAGTAGTGAGAGGGTCATCACTGAATCAGGTGATAAACTGCTGGCATTACTACTGTTCACCTTATTGGAGAAGTTCTCAATCCACTACCAGCTCCTTCAAAATATTTCTGACATTTATTACAGAGAGGATGATTCAACAAATGAACCCAAACCAAACCACAGATGGCTCAAAAGGCTAAAAGTTCATTCTGTGCCTTTGGCTAGAAGTCAGAAGACTGGTTAATGTGGCACAGTTTATGACCTCGGTGCAATATCCCCAACTTTTAGAGAGGTTGAGCTCATATTTCATAGCTAGGTGCCATAGTGGATACAGCACTGGACCTGGAATCAAGAAGACTTTACCCAAAATCCAGTTTCAGATATCAAATAGCTATGTGACCCCAGGCAAGTCATTTAACCTCTGTCTGCCTCAGTTTCCTCATCTGTAAAATTAGGATAATAATGACACCTAATTCTAAGGGTTCTTTTGAGAATAATAAGATGATTTTTATAAAACATTTGGCAAACCTTAAATCACTATATAAATGCTATTATTATTGTTATTATTCATCTAAAGCTTTGCGAATAGCAGATTTGGAAATGGGTACAATGCTGTCAGTGAAATCCTGGAGCAGAAAAGAGTACACATTCCAATAGAAATCCTACAAACCAGTATCATTGGATCATAGGTGTACAACCAGAATGGACTTTAGAGATCATTTAAACCTTTTTTTTTTGTCATGAACTCTCTTAATAGTCTGATGAAGCCTATGTCTTCCTCTGAATGATATTTTTAGATTGAAATACATAGGATTACAAAGGAAACCACTTATATTAGAATAAAATAAAGATGTAATTTTTCCCATCCTAACTCACAAAACCTCTGAAATATATCTACAGACCCAATGGGAGTTCATGATCCCAAGATTAAGAACTCCTCTTTTAAATCAATCATAATTTCACAGATGAGGACAGAGGCACCAAAGATCAGGATATATCTGGGAAGGATTTGGTAAAACATATATATATGAATATATATGTTTATCAATCTACCAGGTGAAAATGAGAACATAATTTCATTTTCACATATTAATCTCAATCTTTTTTCACAACCCTGTGAGGCAGATAGGACATTTATTGATAATGTCCCCATACAGACATAGGAAACTAAGACCCACAGAGGTCATCATGACTTGTCCAAGGCACAAAGCTAGTAATTGTCAGAATCTGGACTTGAATTTCAAATTCAATGCCTTTTCTACTACCCCACATTAACTTTCAAAGGCATTAAGATCCACAGATCTTAGTTCAGAACTTGCTGGTTCCTCTTGAGGCCAGGGTTATTTTCACTCAGGCACACTTAAGGTTATATGCAAGGACTGGGGCAGCACACAGAGACTGCTTAAGGGCTCCTTTGAAGGAATGTGCAAAGAAAACATTCTCCACTCTGATCCAACAAATGCTGGAGGTCCCCACCTGTTTGCAGGACCTACTCATTCCTCAGGCAACAGAAATAATCAGGCACATTACATACCACCTTTCTTCTTATGGTGGGCAATGAGAATTTTAGGTGGGACTGATGGCATTTTCTCCTAGAACTTCGCAGTGCCAATGTGAGCAGTGATAGCAGACGATGGCAGTTGTAGAATGGATTTCAACAATTCCTACAGGAACTTAACAGCACCCAGCTAATGCTGAAGCATTGGGCCCTGATGGCCACTACAGTGAATCAAAACAGAGTCTAGAAAACCTACAAGGTACCTACCTCTCTACTCTAACATGCTCTACTCATTAGAACAAGCTGCTTGAAGACAGTCTCCCAAGACAAACTGACTGCTGATAGAGTCAGGAATGAAACCAACAGAAGACAGCGATGCTTACTTACCTTGCAAAGAGATTGAGGGATATTCTTAAGGTCCACCTGTAGTATATTGCCAATAATGGGAAGAGGAACAGGACCAGGTGGAAGCTTTCCTCTTCCAAAGCCCTTTCTCCATGATAAAATGAAAAGCAGACATGAGATACACAGCAGTAAGCCAAGAGCAACGGCCACAGATGGATCCATTGACACTCTTCCTTACTACTAATGCAATAGAAGGCTTAGAATCCAAAGCTGGGAAGGACTGCAAACATGAAATTAATCAGCTAATACTTCCTTGGCATCCTGATTAAGCTTCCAATGGACTTTGGCCTGCCAATAAGATTAACAGAACCCTACTCTTGTTCTATAGTAGTGTATTTTAAAGTAACAGGAGCCATTAAATTTGTTGTTTGAAGTTTTACTGATTCATTTTGCTCCTTATGTGCCACAGTTATTTCCCAATATTGTCCTGCCTCCCCTTACAATCAATACCTTTAACAAACATTAAATAATACCAATGATACTCGTACTTTGACAGTGTATGTCATATACCACAGTACCTTACCACTCTGCTAAAAAAGTGTTTCCTAATCTCTTCCAAGATTGAGGCCACTTTCATAACATTAAAAACCTCACTGACCCATTGTTGTTTATCCTTCATTCTTGAAGAGGACCATAACATCAGGGAGGGGATGCCACGGCCTTTCCTTAAAATTATAAATAATATCTGTCTAAAACCATCAGCAAGCATTATCTATAATGGGTATAAATCAGAAACTTTTTCAATATGATCAGGGGCAAAGCAAAGACGTCACTGTTATTCAATATTATACTAGAAATGCTGGTTATAGCAATAAGAAAAGAAAAAGAAATTGAAGGAATTAGAATAGACAATAAGGAAACAAAACTATCAGTCTTGGCAGGTGATATGATTATATACTTAGAGAATTCTAGAAAATCAACTAAAACTTAATTAAAATAATTAATAACTTCAACAAAGTTGCCAGATAAAAAATCATCAGCATTTATATATATTACCAACAAGGTCCAGAAAGGAGAGATAGAAAGAGAAGCTGCATTTAAAATTACTGCTTACAGTAGAAAATACTTGGAAGTCTGCCTTCCAAGACAAATCCAGGAACTCTGTGAACACTTTTCACACAAATAAAGTCATATCTAAATAACTGCAGAAATATGAATTGCTCACAAGTAGGCCAAGCCAATATAATAAAAATGAAATTTCTACCTAAATTAATTTACTTATTCAGTGCCATACAACCAAACTACCAAAAAGTGTTTTATAGAGGTAGAAAATATAACAAAATTGATTTTGTAGAACAAAAGATCAAGAATATCAACAGAATCAATGAAAAAAAAATGTGAAGGAGGGTAGCCTAGCAGTACTAGATCTCACCTGTATTACAAAGTGATAATCATCAAAACAATCTGGTATTGGCTAAGAAACAAAGTGCTGGATCAGTGAAATAGGTTAGCTATATAATACACAGAAGTAAATGACCATAGTAATCTAGTGTTTAACAAACCCCAAGATCCAAACTTTTGGGACAAGAACTCACAATTTCATAAAAATTCCTGGGAAATCTTGCAAGCAGTTTAGCAGAACATAAGTATAGAAGAACATCTCATTATATACCAAGATAAAGTCAAAATGGCTACATGATTTAGACATACAGGGTGATCTCATAAGCAAATTAAGAGAGCATGGAATACTTTACCTGTTAGATTTATGATTAAGGGAAGAATTTATGACCACAGAAGAGTTAAAGACTATTATGGAATGTAAAGTGGGTAGTTTTATTGCATTATATTAAAAATTTTTTGTGCACACACACACACACACACACACACACACACACACACACAAGAAGAATGCAACCAAGACTAGAAGGAAAGCAGGAAACTAGGGGAGGTGAGCAAATTTCTCTGATAAAGGCCTCATTTCTCAAATATATGGAGAACTGAGTGAAATATCTAAGAATATGAATCATTCCCCAATTGATAAATGGTCAAATGATATAGACAGGCAGTTCCCACATGAAGAAATCAAAGCTAACTATATTCATATAGAAAATATTCTAAATTACTATTGATTAGAGAAATACAAATTAAAACAACTCTGAGGTACCACCTCATTTGTATCAGATTGACTACTTTGACAGAAAAGGGAGATGGCAAATGTTGGAGGGAATATAGGAAAATTGGAACACTACTGCACTGTTGCTAACAGTGAATTGTTGTGAACTGATGCAACCATTCTGGAGAGCAATTTGGAACCATGTCCAAAAGGCTGTAAAACTGTGCATACCCTTTGACTCAGCAATACCACTTCTAGTTCTGTATCTGAAAGAGATTATACAAATGGGAAAAGGACCCATACATACAAAAATATTTATAGTAGCTCTTTTAGTGGTGGCAAAGAACTGGAATTGAGCAAATGCTCATCAATTGGAATGGTTGAACAGTTGGGGATATGATTATGATGGATTACTATGTGATATAAGAATTGATGAACATGATATTTTCAGAAAAACCTGGAAGAAATATGTGAACTAATGCAAAGAGAGGTGAGCAGAACCAGAAGAACTTGTACACAGTAACAGTAACATTAAACAATGATCAACTGAGACTGACTTAGTCATTCTCAGCAATACAATGATCCAAGAAAATTAGAAAGGACTCCTGATGAAAAATACTCTCCACCTCCACAGAAAGAACTGATGGAGTCTCAAAGAAGGGCAAAGCTTTGATTTTTTTACTTTCCTTTTTCTTTTTTATTGTTTTTTTTCCCTATGGGACTGTGTTTTCTTTTGCATCTTGGCTAATGTGGAAATATGCTTTGCATGACTGCACACATAATATACATGCTTACATATATACATGCAAACATACAGAATCTGGAACTTAAAATTTTTAAACTGACTACTTAAAATTGTTTTTACATGCATTTAAGGAAAAATTGAAATAAATAAAATGAGAGAAAAACAAATGCCAGTTATTTACTAGAGGTTCTCAATTTTAAAAACACAACAAAAAAGTGCCCAGAGAAGAATTTCCTCAATGGGTTCCTGCCAATGTAAGGGCCCAATATTTACCCCAGGCAAGGTCTCACATAGAAGACCTTATAAACTCTGACTGAGAGATGGTGCTGAGGCTTTTCCCTCACAGGGAGGAGCACAGCAGTTCATCATCCTCACTAGCCACTAAAAGGGAAAGAGACCCAAGTGGCCTCCAAGGGAGTCTTTTATGTGTATTCTGAGTGCCACTCAACATCCACGTTCTCCCAGGACTACAGCTTCAATGGCCAGTCCCTTGTTATGGGAGGAAGAAAGAAAGGAAGAAAGGGAAGAAGGAAGGAAGGAAGGAAGGAAGGAAGGAAGGAAGGAAGGAAGGAAGGAAGGAAGGAAGGAAGGAAGGAAGGAAGGAAGGAAGGAAGGAGGAAGGAAGGAAGGAGGAAGGAAGGAAGGAAGGAAGGAAGGAAGGAAGGAGGAAGGAAGAGGAGGGAGGGAAGGAAGGAGGGGGGGAAGGAAGGAGGGAGGGAAGGAAGGAGGGAGGGAAGGAAGGAGGGAGGGAAGGAAGGAGGGAAGGAGGGAGGGAAGGAGGGAAGGAGGGAGGGAAGGAGGGAAGGAGGGAAGGAAGGAAGGAAGGAGGGAAGGAAGGAAGGAAGGAAGGAAGGAAGGAAGGAGGGAAGGAAGGAAGGAAGGAAGGAAGGAAGGAAGGAAGGAAGGAAGGAAGGAAGGAAGGAAGGAAGGAAGGAAGGAAGGAGGGAAGGAAGGAAGGAAGGAGGGAAGGAAGGAAGGAAGGAGGGAAGGAGGGAAGGAGGGAAGGAAGGAAGGAAGGAAGGAAGGAAGGAGGGAAGGAAGGAAGGAAGGAAGGAAGGAAGGAAGGAAGGAAGGAGGGAAGGAAGGAGGGGAGGAAGGGAGGAAGGGAGGAAGGAGGGAAGGAGGGAAGGAAGGAAGGGGAAAAGGAAGGAGGGAGTGAGGGGGGAAGGAAAAATGAGGAAAGGAGAAGGGAGGAGGTACAAGAGGGAACTATGGGCAAATGATTTCAGTTCTCTCAGGGAAATATGAGGTGACACTGTCGGCTGTGAGGTGTCCAAGAAAGGAGAGCCCTGAGAAACTTGAGGGGGGACAAAAAGGTTTGGAATAACCATGGTAGTAAGATAGTTAATTATGGAGGCATAAAAGGATTGCTCTGCCCAATTGAGATGATATAAAAAGTATGTAGTGGACCCAATAGGCACATTTTCATGATTTTCTCTAGCTTCATTCATTAGCCCAGGAGTAAGGGCAAAGGAAGTAAATGGTGGGAATAATCTCTACCCAGACTGGGACTTGGCATGGTAAGACTAGAGAAAAGACAAGGAATTTTGAATTAAACATTAACAAACAATAATTGCAAAACAGAGAGCAGTAAAGTTTGTTGTTGCAATCCCTCGTACTTCAATGAACCCAAGAAATGATTACCTTAAAGGCTCAGTGGGGGAAAAGGTTATTGAGGCACACAGAATAAACATTTATACAGGGCCTATTAGGTAGTAGACACTGTACCAAGTATTGTACAAATATCATCTCCTTGGATTCTCACAACTGCTTCGAGAGATGTATGATGTTATCCCCATTTTACAGTTGGGGAAAGTGAGGTTAAGTGACTTGCCCCGAGTCACACAGCTAGTAAGGGTCTCAGGTCTTCTCAACTCCAGGCCCAGTGTTCTCTCCACAGCACCACCTTACTACTAGGAAAGCTCTGATTTCTAAGGGGATGATCAAGTTTATAGTTCACATCCTAATTGGGTAAGAACTCTAACAATATAACCTCAGGAGTCCTTTTGCTAGATCATTTGTATCTTGTGTGTGTTTTTCCTTTCTCTTTGTAAATATGGCTGTGTAGGCTATGTCAGTCAATTAACGTTTATTAAGTATATACCATGTAAGAAACACTGCTAAGTGCTGGGGATACTAAAAGCGGCAAAAGACAATCCCTGCATTCAAGGAGCTTACAGTCTAATGGGGAGACAAGTGTGAGCAAACATGCCATATACAGAATAAATAGGAGATAATCACAAGAGGGAAGGCACCAGAATTAAAAGGGGTTAGGAAAAGCTTCCTGTAAAAGGGGGGATCTTAGTTGGGGCTTAAAGGAAGCCAACAGGTAGTGATGAGCAGGGAGAGCATTCCAGGTCTGGAGAACAGCCAGGGAAAAGGTCCAGAGAGAAGAGATGGAGTATCTTTGTTAGTGAAACAGTCAAGAGACCAGGGTCCCTATATGAGAGGACATGGTGAGGAATTAGGTGCAAGAAGACAGGAAAGAAAGGAGGGGATTAGGTTATAGAGGGCTTTGAATCCCAAACAGAGGACTGTGCACTTGATCCTAGAGAGGATAGGAAGACACTGAAGTTTAGTAAGGTGACATAATCAGAC